AAAATATATTATTTTTAAAATTAATAATATTTTTAAAAAAAAATATGATCGTATTTTTAGTCCGCGCGATGCGCGCGGGTTATTACCTAGTATATTAGAAAACTAAACTTTCAATCACAATAATATTCTACTCAAATATCCTTAAATTTTCACAACTATATTATGAATTTTTTTTAATGCGTATATCCATACGATAGGGACGGTGGAGAGAAAAGACAAAATATTGAATCGGCACAAAGTTCCAATCTCTCTTGCCCCAAACCCCAAAACGTTCTCTCTCTACAAATCATTAAAATACAAATGCATACATTATAAAAAAATATATAGAGAGAGAGAGAGAAAGGCAGCCAACATGGGTAACTTCCAATGAGTGTCCAAAATCTATGCTTCAAATACATCGGATGTGAAACAAAACAACATAAAGGGAGACATGACCAAACCTCAAACTCATCTGTGTTCTTGAACACAGCTTCTCTCTTTCTGATCTTATCCTCTTCTTGAATCTCTCTCTCTCTCTCTCTCTCTCTCTCTCTCTCTCTCTCTCTCTCTCTTGTAATATCTTGTCTGAAAAGCTAATGGATCATCTCAAGAAATCATCCTCATCATCATCATCATCATATAGTGATCAAGATCTTGTTGAACAAGTCCAAATCATCAATGGCCTTCTTGAAGAGTGTTGGTTCTTTGATAATTTGCTCAACAGAAGATCAAGCGTTCTGAGGTATTCTCGCTCTGACCCTTCCCCTTCTCTTTCCTCGTCGTCTACCGAAAAACCCGCAAATTCAGCTCCAGAGAAGATTCTAGAAGATTCTAAAGGTCGTTGCCTGATCCGGGCACCATCTCTGCCCCCTTGTGTAGAGAGAAGTGAAGGAAGAGGCGAGGCGGCGGCCAAGAAGATAAACAGGCAATTGTCCGAGAAGAGGGTCAGGGTTCAAGAATCGAGACCCGGGTCTACATACTTGCGGAAGAAGGAACCAGTGGTTCAAGACAAGGTGAGAGAAGGTTCTAGAAGGGACGTAGAGAGCGTTAGTGTCCGATCCTCATCGACATGTCAGAGTTTACAGAGAACAAAGACGTTTCCGAGTTACGTAACAAGAGACGAAGCGTTGGACGAGTTTCAAGATCAAGAAAGCGAGGAGAGGTTAGGGTTCTTGATCCGTGAGGCCGTCGCGAGCTCTTCAGAGCTCAAACCTCGGCGA